CTACTGACCTGTCGACTGACGACCAACGACCTGCCGACCTGACGACCAACGACCTGTAGATGTGATGACTTGATGACTACTGACCTGTCGACTGATGACCTGAAGACCAATGACCCTAACCCTGACGTCTGGTGTTTGAACATGTGGTTAAACAGGAAGTGACACAGTGTACGAGTCCTGTTCTAAAGTATTTACAACTTGAAGCTGTCACCTTTAACACTTGGTAATAAACATGTCTGTGAATAGATGAAACCAAACCCTCTCTCCGCTCAGGTTGCACTCTGCTGCTTCATGAGACGTACGGGAGGAGCGGCGGTGCCGAGCGGGACCTTTCTCCTCGTTACGCTCTGCTGGCCGACGACAGCATCGTCCAGGCCGTCCCTGAACATCCCAAGAGGGAACACGTCTTCTGTCTGAGCAACTCGTATGGAGACGTTTACCTGTTCCAGGTGAGGGAACCTGCTCTTTATTGATATTTGTCTTTCTTTCCACACTGTTCTGTAGAGATCAGCTCCGTGCTCAAGAATTTACTGAGATCCAAAATCTCCTGATGTAATTCACAAGCACCGAGAACTGAACTTGAATCTTGTTTCAGTTCCTTCGTTCAGTATTTCACTTTCCACTCGTTCTCTTCACCTGTCAATCCTCTGTTTTCTCTTGACTTGTGTGTCCCGGTGCAACTAAGAGGTTGTCTAGCTTTAAAAGTTGCTGCTGCAAAGAATTGTGGGACGGCATTTTCTCCTTTCCTTTCATGAGGAAACGTCTGATGTAGTTATTCGAACTCAGTCTGAGACCTGTGTAAACGCCTTGCCCACGATCTCTTCCTGATTGGTTCTTATCAGTCACATGACTCGACTAGCAGCGGTGAAAACAAAGCGTTGCTAACACTTCCTGTCGGTAACAGCTCCACCTCGTTGTGGAAACAAAAAAAGATGAATAAAGATGATGTTTTTTCTCGTCCAGGCCACCAACCAGACGGAGCTGGAGAACTGGGTGACCTCCATCCACTCTGCCAGCGCCTCCCTGCTTGCAAGGCGACAGGGGAAGGAGGACACGCTGCGTCTCCTGCGCTGCCGGAGCCGCTCGCTGCTGCACAAGATCGACATGGACGGAAAGATGAAGAAGATGGCGGAGCTGCAGCTGTCTGTCATCAAGGAGCAGAAGAACAGGAAGGCCGTGGAGAGCCAGGTCAGTGCCGGCAGGAGCCCGACGTCACCAACATCTTAAATCCACAGTCAACCAGAGTGTCTTTCCTCCTTGTGAAGTTACAGCTCAGTCACTTGGAGGTTTCAACACTTGGAGGCGCTGTTCTGCCAGTAAATAGCCCGGTTCACCCGACAGCTTGGGGCTAAACACCTTCTGCAAATCGTAAAGAGTCGAATGATTCCAGAGCTTTTGATTTTACAAGTGTTCCTGGAACTCAACTGAAACTTATGTCAAGAACTTTGAGTCTGATGTTGGTTCAGGCATCGTCATGTAGCTCATTCATACTTCGTCAGAGCATCCTGAGGTCCAGGGAACGACTCCCGAGTCAGAGGCCTGTCCATACCTGGTTCTAGGCTTCATTCATTTTTTAATTCTCGATCTCTCTGACATAAACATTTCAAGCTACGTACACGTATCGATGCTTCGCTCGTTTTTTTAGGTTAATCGACCTGAGGCGATGTGTCAGAATCTTTCTGTCTGCAGAAGTAAGAGATAACATGTTAGTTACTGGCAGATACATGATCAATGATCATATCGGACTTTTCAGATCAAGCAGTGGGAGCAGAACCTGGAAAAACTGAACCTGGATCTGTTCAGACTCAGGTGTTACCTCTCCAGTCTGCAGGGCGACGAGCTCCCAAACCCAAAGAGCCTCCTCGCAATCGCCAGCCGGCCCTCCAAGAGCATGCTGGGACGCCTTGGAGTTTTCTCTGTGTCCTCATTCCACGCCCTGGTGAGAAATGTGATTGGTTCTGTGACTATCAGATGAATTCAGGGGAGCTTTAATACAACGTCTCATCTCTCCACCGGACGAGTAAAGACACAAGTCTGTTTGTGATGCTAGCTCCTCTTCCTCCTCAGGTGTGCAGCAGAGATGAGGTGACGTTACGACGGCGTTGTCAGTCTCTGTCGGGGGGACACAGCCGGTGGAAGGGGCTGCCGTCCTCTCTGAAGGCTCTGGATGGGCTGAACAGAAGCAGCAGTCTCTCAACGTCCCAGGTAATAGACCACACCCCCAGCCTGTGAAGCTCACTCAGAAAATCATCCATTAAAACATGTCAAAAAGTTTATTGGAAATCTGTTGACAAAAGTACAGCTACATTATAATGACATTAAAATCATTTTAATCATCGCTACGTTAAGTTACAGGTTCAGTGTGAAGTCAGCGACGTCTTCAGGTGTCATACATGTTCACATGATATGTAGAGACATCTAGTGGATAAGTTACTCATTACAAACCACTGAACCCTGAGACACGAGGATTCTGGACATGTTGTGTAGTCCGTGTTTGTCCTGTGAGGCGGCAGCAGGAGATTGTTCGGGTCAGACTCGTTCACAACAGGAACATTTATCAGGAGGCTGCAGGAAAAGTTCCAGAGACACAGACTCAGACTTGTTCTCACATACAGAACCTGCAGAACAGGTCAAGAACATGTCAGGAACATGTGTGTGTTCAGGTCTGGTTTGATATAAGGCCCCAGGTCCCTTTCTGGAAACGCCCCTGTTGATGAAGATGATGAAGACGCTGTGTACTCGGTGGTCCTCAGACTCCAGTCTGACTGCAGCTCCTTCACAAACCCGTAATTTCAGCTCAGTCCATCATTTCGTCTCATTTTGGTTTGGACCCGGGACAGATTTTTTTAGTTTTAATTAAATTTAAATGTAGAGTGTGAGGACATATTTTGAGTTTGGTCCTGAACGTCTCTGACTGTGTTTGAGGTTTCTTCTTCTTCTGCTCCGAGGTTCTTTACGCGCTAACGTTCTCATTTCTTCTGTTCTTCTGTGTGGCAGAGGGGTGGAGTTCACAGGCCGGTCTCTTTACCTGGGACTTTATCTGTGGAAGAATTTAAAAACCCAAATAAAGAAAAACTATAGATAATAAATACGTTTCAATATGTTGAAACACAAAACTGTCACATGAATTAAAAATATGCTCTTTATGCTTTTCATGAGAATATGTTAATCAGATCATCTGTCGCCCTTTAACCTCAGAGGACAACCGTCTGTTGGACGCACAGCTGTTCCAGAGGGGGGGGAGGAGGAGGGGGGTGTTTGAGGATTAAAAGCTTTGAGAGCCTTTTATTTTCCCAGAATTCCTTTGTCCCTGAGTGTTAATCCACAGAGGCAGAAAATGACCCCCACCTCCTACCGTCACATGACCCCTCCTGCTTTCTTCTGCTCCTCTTTTAACCTCCTCCCTTCCTTCCTTCCTTCCTTCCTCTCAACATAATTCCTCCTCGCTCCTTCTCTTGCTGCTTCATCTCATTCAACTTTCATTCATATCTTTTTCTCTCCCTCCTCTTTTCTCTTTCTTTCTTTCTTTTCGTCTGAATCTTTGATTTTCACTAATATTCTCCCCCTTTGATCTCTGTGTGTTTTAATGATCCGACGCTGACGAACGTCCTGTTGCTTAGAAACAGAACCTTTTATTTTTCAGACTCGTCTTGATAAAAAATAGTTTTGACCTGAATGAATGTGATGTAAAGAACAAAGTGTTTCCTCTGCAGAGACTGGACCGTGAGTACAAACATGTGGGGGTGGTGCCCCCTGCAGGACGTGCTGCAGCTGTACAGGTTTGTTCACTCAACTTGAACTGATCTCGATTAGTTATAATAATAATGATCATTTAGAGAAATGATTTTATTAAACATGTTGATTAACCAAAATGATCAAATGCATTTGATTTCTTTTAAACATAAAGTTTGACTCAAATGTAAATGAATGAATCTGTGATAACGGATGAAGACGACTTGTCTCTGTCTCCAGATGTATGAGGACGGTTCCGTCCTCGGCAGCTTCTCGCTGCACATCTGTCGAAGCGACGCTGGACGAGACTTTGGTGAGAGAAACATAACTTTCTTTTTTCCATGTTGAAGTTCTGACACGTTGGACTTTCATCGTTAACATCCTGTTTCCTCATTACCTGCAGGCTTTGTGGTCACGGGACACGTGGACGGCGCCGGGAAAAGTCACGTGCACGTCAGCGAGGTCGATCCGCTGGGACTCTCTGCCAGAGAAGGTTCGACATCTGGGTCTCATGTGTCTGATTTTCATTTGAAGGGGGTTCTGGGAAATGTACAGATGTGAGATTTCTGATCCGCTCTGAAAACATTATGATACAATATGATGAATTAGTGTGCACTTGCTCTCCAGCAGGGGGCAGTCACAAGCCTCCAGCTGTGGTGAACAAATCAACGGTGACGTGCTCCGTCTTTAATTTAAGTAAAGAATCTCAGTGGTTTGGTCTGTGGAGGATCTGGAGCTGCGGTTTCGTCCAAGTTCTTTATGGTGACAAACACGGTAACGATCCTGATTTAAACTTTGACCTCTGCGTTTCTGCTCCTGTTTCCCATCAGGCCTCAGGGCAGGAGACGAGGTGCTGGCGGTGAACGGGGCATCCGTGTCCGGGCTGGACCTGGACCTGATGGAGAGTCTCTTCAGTCACCAGAAGCTTCAGCTGCTGCTGAGGAGAGACGAGTCACCTGAGGGGGAACCCGCCGCCCTGTGGCCTGAACCCGGTGAACCTGCAGGCCCCTGGGAGCCTGCGGCCCCTGACCTCCACACCTGGACCTCAGGTACGACGAACACAGACGGATTTTCTGTTAATTCGGGTTTTTAAACCCGTGTTTGTGGAAATGGTTCTGACCCTCGTCTCGTTGCTTTCACAGATGTTTTGTCTCCAGGTGCCGTCCTGCCTCCCGTGTTTGACGACGCTGACCTGACAGGACAGGTGAGTCGAGTTAACCTCGATACCACGGCTTTACACACTAGAGGTGCACTGCTGCCTCTTGTGGCTGACATGGGTGTAACAACAGTAAAATCCTGGTTGTACTGGAGAAAGATTTTGATCTTGTGATCTTTTCTCTGCGACCCTTCGTTCAGGAGTTTGTTAAGTCGTCATTTCACTCAATATAAAAACATAGAAAACAGGAGTTACTGTCTTTCCTTCATCCGTCCGCTGGCAAGATTCCACTCCCACAATCCTCTGCTCCTCCTTCCTGATGCTCAGACACCCTCAGTGTCACATGACTTAATCCGGGCTTACACCTCCAGGAGTGTGTGGAGTGTTTGTGTGTAAAGTCGGAGCGGGATTAATGGCTGCCACTCGTACGACCACAGAAAACTCGTAGATGTTGTTCCTGACCAGCGGCTGCAGGAGGCGACCTCTGACCCCAGCCGGGGCGTCCCCGTCGTCCCACTCCCTCACCATGGGGGCTCTGTGCTGGGTGCTGCCGCAGGAGGAGGATGTGGGGGAGCAGGATGATGGAGGGGAGGGGCTCCGCAGGGTGACGGCCTGCTGCCTGAGCTGCCGGCGTCCGACCGACGGCCTCGTGCTGCTGGTAAACACAGTCAGAGCGATGCTGGAGGTCGTTGTTCACCAGACGTCACTGCTGCTGCGATGAACACGTGTCTCCATCATGTGATGGTGGAGAAACATTTCACTTTGTTTCTTTCTGTTCATGTCGACATATTTATTGAATCTCTGGAGCTGTGAATCTGATCTGAAGCGTAGCGTCCACGCCACGATTCCTGTTTCCTGTTCGCTCAGTTTCCATCTGATCGTTGTTCAAAGTCACCAACGATGAGCAGAGAGAGAAAATGGTTTTTGGTTTTAACTGGACTCTGAAACGATGCTTATCACAGATTTTTAATTATGTGCTCCCCCACAGAACATGGAGCGGGTCTATTCTCTGTACCAGACCTTCCCAGAAGGCCGAGCTGCAGACACCGATGTTCCCAAGAACCCCTACAGCAGAGAGGTCATTCAGCAGCCGACAAGCCCCGCCCACCTGAGCGTGTGTCAGCATCTGCGTAAAGTCATCCAGGAGCTGGTCGACACCGAGAAGTCCTACGTCAAGGTCGGTGACATGGCGTCTAAACTGTGTAAAGATCAGTGTTGTTGTTTACAGCTCGTCCACACGGCGTCGGCCCTCATCACCAAAACATCTGGAACCTCCTCGTCTTTCCAAGTGGACGTCTTCGTCTTCTACGTGTMCGGCTCCTCTTCTTCATCCTGAGACATTTGTGTTCTTCAGTTTCACGTCCGTCACGTGTTAGAAACCAGAAAATGTCCAGAGACATTTGTCCTCACACACAGGACCTGAAGAACACGTCAGGAATGAGAATTAACTGCTTCAGAAACGATATATTTATTTCCATTATATATTTTAATATATAAACGTATCTGCTAATCATTTTATGTCAAATGTGAAGTTATGAAATTAAACTTTAACAAAGTGGAAAAATGTGATGAAAGTAAAATGACATTGAGGTGGTTAACATGATTATTAACAATGAGAGATCTTCTTTAACGTGGTTACCGTGTGTCCGTCAGGATCTGGGCCGTCTGTTTGACATCTACCTGACGCCGCTGCAGATGGAGACTTTCCTCAGCAGAGCAGAGGTACGTGAAGAAACCACTGAACCTCTGTGAACACGTGTCGTTGTCTTGACGCCGGTGTCTGTGTCCGTCAGATGGAGGCGCTGTTCGGCAGTCTGCCGCAGATGTTGGACTTTCAGAGAGTTTTCCTTCAGACTCTGGAGGAGAAAATCGCTTCGTGTCCGAACCTGAGTCACCTGGAAACACCTGAACAGTTCAAGGTGACGAGTTCCTGCTTTTATTCATTTGTCCCCATGTTATTCTATTGATAATTGTTTTTGAAGCTTTAATTTATTATTACACAACTTTCTTTTTGTTAATGTCTTTCATTATTTTAAATTTAAACCTCACTCAGGACTCTTCTCTCGTCTCTTTCAGAAACTCCTCTTCTCGTTGGGAGGATCTTTTCTTTATTACGCCGACCACTTCAAACTCTACAGCGGCTTCTGTGCCAATCACATCAAAGTGCAGAAGGTCCTGGAACGAGGTGAACGACCAATCACAGAGCTTTAACCAACTTTGTTCATCAGACACAAACGTCCAAGTCACTGATGTCACTGTGTGTGTGTGTGTGTGTGTGTGTGTGTGTGTGTGTGTG